TGGGGCGTTTTAGTTTTATTTTAGTTTTCTATATTTTAGGGGCATTTTTAATAGAATAGTTATTCCACTCGAGCTTGTTGAATGTGAGATAATTATAGCCAACTCATATCCAACGCGCGCTCGTGGAATAACTGTTAAGTATTCCACGAAGTGTTGCATAACTGTTTTATACCATGCCATGCCATGCTGTAAAAATACAGGGGCCACTGAAAACGATCAATGCACCGCACGATGGAAAGGTTTGATGTAAGACCATCGAATATATCACGGCTTTCCTAGGCTACAACTGTCTGTATTTTCTATAGCATGGTATAAAATGGAATATCCCACGAGTCACTTGTATGTTTTATACATTGCCATTTAACAAATAAGGAAGCTTAAGTCATGTATTACACTGCGATAAAACACGACGGGCATTTGAGAACACGAGGGAAATGTAAAAAAAACACGAGCCGCAGGCGAATGTTTTCTTCTTTTCTCGAGTGTTCTCAAATGAGGTACATACTAGCTATTCAACGCTTTCGAGCGGTGAACCATGGAATATGGAACTTCATCATTTGTTTTATGATATAGAAGTAATGTGGCGCTAAACAATAAAACACGCTTTTTCTATGTTTTATTTAATAAATAAAGAAGCCTAAACCATACACAGTATTACACTGTGATAAAACACGATGGGCATTTGAGAACACGAGGGATATGTAGAAACACGAGCCGTAGGCGAGTGTTTTCTACATTTCTCGAGTGTTCTCAAATGTCCGGAGTGTTTTATTACAGTGTAATACACGGCATAGGCTTCTCCATTTGCTTTAAAACACGCTTTTTCTTGTTTTATACTCTGATAAAACATAAGTTTTTGACCAATCAGAGCGCGCGCAGGGTCCTAGCTATATTATAAACTTTGATAAGGCATGGGTCTTTGACCAATCAGAGCGCGCGCAGGGTCCTATCTATATTATAAATAGAAACTAAAGGGGCCAAAGGTTGAGTTTAATACCGTCGTGTATACAACGGCTTTCCTTTACACCGATTGCCTGAATTTTCCATGGCGTGGTATAAATGACGGTATACGTAATTCTTATACGACCTATAACCACATATTTCTTTGTCTACACCAGTTTACGACCATTTTCAAACCATACCTTGCCTTAGTCTGCGTTCATATATTTCAAAAAGGCCAGTCAAAACCAGAATAGAGGACTACTTACATGGAGAGACGTTGTCTCTGGATAGGAGATCATGGGAGGATTACCCCACCCCAACCCCACCCAAGAGAGGCCTTTGAAGAAAACGCCGTTTCTGGCTGCGGACAGAGCCAAAAACTGGCCATGTCGGTTTGACTTAAGCTCTACATGTCTCCACCTGTTGCTGGTAGACGGGGCAAGCAAAAAGTTTGTTTATTGTGTGACCGTCCAACATAACCACAAAATTACAATCGTCCCTCACATTGTTATATTTCAGAATTACACAGCTGGACGTTATGTATAATTAGCGTCTTTTGAATTACCAAATGCCAAGACCAGAAGTAGCTAATCATAGTAGCAAAGAGTAGCAAAGACAGAACCATAATATACACACTAATCACTCACTCGGGTGACCTACTAGCTCGACATGTATAGGATGACGGGAGGTTTAAAGCGGCGTGAGACTGTTAGAAAACACGGCCATATACGCCGCCCAGTAAATCATCCAGGCCAAAAATTTAAAATATAACCAGGACTGAACAAATCACAAAGCACACGAAATCCAAAAATAGAATGCAAATTATTGAAACCCCGCGAGAGTCAGACAACATTGGCGTGTTCTAAGAGAAAAAGGAGGAAAATGAAGGCCAAATTTCGTTTTAAAAATTGTTTTAGGAGCATTTGCTTACGCGCGTGAAAAAGCGTCAAATTTTCCACCATTCCGTTTTGTTTGTCTGACTTTGTCTGAGTTATGACGTCACTCGCGCGCTTCGCTATTGCAAGCTTTATAATCAATTCACGTATAAGAAAATATAAAGATATTAAGTAGTGATATTTATGCTATAACAACAGTTAACATGGATTCGATTGAAACGCTTATTTAGCTGATTAGCAGGATTTACATTATCTTTTACATTCAAACTCAATTCGCCGGTTACGACTGATAAGCAGGGTTGAGCCACAACAACTACACTGTCATGAATACGATCAAAACTTGGGCCATGGATAATTCACACAGCTTAAATCTTCTTAAAGTTGGTTAATATCTAAGTTAGGGTGCTTTTTTGGGAAAATCCAGCGTTCGATTCTTAAATCCAAAAAATATTTTGCGTTTTCTTAATAGACAGATTAACCCAAGACAACTCGGATCGGGGTGCATCAAACGAACCGAAGAATTCACTCTGGGTAGGCATTCTTCTTGAAATTCACACCACCGTGGTGTGTGTAAAATTGACGTACGTCCTATATAAAGTGGGCACTATAGGTTAACTTTCAGCTACAACTTAAAGTTCGCTTATAAGTCTTAATTGCTTCAAGTGGGCTTTAAACGTGAGCGTTTACCGCTACTATAAAGCAAATCTTTACAGCGTAAAGCCAAAGGGACGCTGCCTAATTTAGAAATTCACACTGGACAGCATAACGCCAGTTTTACACAACGGTAACGTTGTTTTTCATGCTGTGTTAGTCACTGCTACAAGGTTACCAGCTATTGTGTAGGTACTCAATCATTTGGGGAACTTAAATTATCAAATCAACATGATACATGATACAGGTTCATAGCCAATCTTCGATCCATTAGTGTGACTGCTGCTTCGTACCAAACAAGGACTACAAGCCACTCTCAAAGGGAGCATCTTAGGATTTCTCTTCTCTGGCCGCATCCACACTTGTTTTATCAGTCGGCCCTTCGTCTTCTTTTCCACCATCAACGGCCGTCCGATATCTGTCATTTGCACTATCGGCACCATCTGTCCTCGAGCTGGCTTCCTCGGTGCCTTCTGGCAGCTCAAAACTGGAGTCAATTCTTAGGGCCAGGCTTCTGAGTAACTTGTTCTGTGCCTCCATCATAGCCATCATGGACTTCATCTTTTTCCTGTTTTTCATCACCTCCTCTTCCAGTTTGGCGAGCTCAGTTGCTTTGCTTTCATCTGCAACCGGCTCTGGGATGGCCTCGGAAAATCTTGCTTGTAGCCACCCTATCAATCTGCGAAGTGAACCAAACGGAATGAGTTGTAAGCACTATCAAAAACATCTGGAAGAATCCGAATTTTTGATAGCTCAAAGGTATCAGAGGTCTTCCATTGTGTCTTGTTTGATATCGTTCTTTTCAAAAATTTATGTTTAGCCGATCCTAAATCAATTAGAACATGTTATAGATCCCTTCAGGTAGTTGACGATAATCGCAGCGCCAATGAATAAAGATGAACTCCAGGTCTAACGAACTGTCTTGTTATGTAACAATACAGAACAAGATGGACCAAGACCACGAGCAAGCACGGGATTATAGAATGGCTACGACGCATGCGTAGACGAGGGAAACCGCAGAAGGGCACGGGCGCGGCTCAATAACAATTCAGCATCATCGTAAATACTCTTTTTCTTGTCGCCATCTTAATAAGTAATAACACACAAACACCATACTTCAGAGAGGGAACCATATTTTCCAAGATAAATTGCTGGTACTTGGTAGAAACAAATTAAACAAAAAACAAAACAAAAGAAAGGTGTTTTTTTTTTTAACATCGTAGCCACGACTGCTTCTTAAAAAAAAAACCACTTGTCGTTTCAAACAATGAAAACAAATCCGAAGAGTTAACCGCTTCAGCTTGTGAAAATTTTAATGCCCTTATTAAGCATGTTGACATCAGACTTGCAAATGTCAACACTACGCCTCGCTTTCAAAATGTATATTGTAAAATTTATCATGAACGAATTCCCAAAACAGCAAAGATGAAAAGTGTACCCCCGTTAAAAAAACATGGAGGTGGCAGAAGTTTAAGAAATTTTGCGCAAACGAGGCTTGGTGGAGAATTTTGAATTAAGCGATTCTCCGTGATATTCGTTTAAGAGATTGATTACAGCAGAAATTCGAATTGACGCCATACCTGTGGTACTTAGATGACTTGTTAGGTTTCTCAACATAAACCGTTTCGTAAACGGCTCTCGTTAAAAAACTAGGAAACGCTTCTTCTATTTCAATTTGATACTCAATCTGCATGGCCAGTCTCTTGACTGTAGCGAACTTTTTCATTGTCTCGGTATCTCCAACGGCCAGACCAACCTGTGAAGAAATCAATTCGGTTGGTACTATTAGACTAGCTACAGCTCTTAAAAAGGGACATGATCAAGCACCCAACAACGTTACGGTAGATTCTAAAGATGACTTCCGCTCAGGTTGTCGACACGTTAATCATCAATAAACGACCAGGAATTGGGTTCTAAGGACCGTTAAACTTAATGTACAACCCCAATGCCGTCTAACGTTTACCAGAGTACTGGTATACGCCCTAAAGGATTGTTGACATTATTCCATTTACTGCGCCACTACCAAAACGATAAAACTCCGTAAACTAAAACGTACTAAAATGATTATCACACTACTGACTGGAATTTGCTCATCATTCGTTATTGTAACATGAGGTATTTCCTTACCAAAAGATTCATCAGAGCGACGGACAGTAGAAACAAACACAAAAAGATGAAGAAGAACGCCACCTTTGGAAACGGATTTAAGGGATTATCGTTTCTGGGATGCCTTTGACCAATTGAGTCAATGAAGGATGCTCCAAAGTCGAGCTCTCCAATCATCATTACCAACACACGAAGGATAGAATGGTGCACAGTGTGGAACCCAGTCTACAAGAAATTACGATGGAGAGAAAATCGAGAGTTAGCAAATCTAGTAAACCAGTAAACTAGTTAACTAGTAAACGAGTAAACTTGTAATCTAGTAGACTAGTAAACTGGTAATCTAGCAGACTAGTAATCTGGTAAACTAGTACACTAGTAATCTACAAAACTAGTAGACTAGAAAACTAGTAAACTAGCAGACTAGCAAACTAGTAAACTGGTAACCGAGTAAACTAGTAATCTAGTAAGCTAGTAATCTAGTAGACTAACTAGTAATCTAGTAGACTAGTAATCTAGTAAACTAGTAGGCTAGTACACCAATAGACTAGTAAACTAGTAATCTAGTAAACTAGTAATCAAGTAGACTTGTAGTTACAAGTAGACTTGGCCGGTCAGGAGCAAAAACAAAACGAATCAAACACGATTTATGTTTTGCGCGGCTTTTGTTACGCTTGTGGCTGATTGTCAGGAGGAAATGTGAACCCTAAGTCATCCGGTTTCCAAAGTCGACCAAACACTGCTCTAGCCTCTTAAGGGAATGAAAGTGCGTGGAATGACTAGTCCATCGTAAGTTTCGCGAAGGATTTTGTCAGGTTTTTCAGACAGTTCGTCGCTGCCCATTACATTGTTGGGTACACTAATGTAGAGTGTCTAGAACACAAAGTCAGAGTGAGCAAGCTATCTGTTACTAGTGATCCAGTACCTTATAACACCCCTTACCTGTTCCTTCAAGAGGAGGTAAAAGACCAGTGCAAATCCCAAGACAAGGAAAGCGAATACCACCATCACTTGGAAAACGGTCTTGGTCACTTCAATATACATTGAGATATAAGTACCAAAAAGTCGATATCTTCTAAGGAACAGCATCATGTTGGTATAGCACACGAATACCGCCACAATTCCAAGGATCCAAAGTGTACGTGGGTCCTTCATGGCCGAGAACCATTCATCGACAACGCTCCGCGAGGTTACGTAAGGTAGCATAAACAACGTTGTACTTATATGAAGGATCCAGTCTAGGTAGTTGGAAGTGTCCTTGAAATAGTTCCAACGTTGCACGTAAATCTGAAACATTTCTTTGCAAAAGTGGAATGTCGCGAAAATCACGACTATGATTGGTACTGCTTCCCTGAAGGAAGAATCTACCCGGTAAATATCGGAAGGTTTAGGCTTGAAGTCTTTGTTTGCTCCTCTAGACCCGTTCGTCCTTGGTGGCCTGAAATTCTGGTCTTCTCTTTGGTCGACTATGAAAGTGGTAAAGAGTATCATCAGTAAGAGATACGGGAAAAAATCGGCCATGTAAACATATCTTCCCAGCGAGGTCCACTTTCTTTCGTTGAATTTCAGAGTGAGGGGATGAAGAAGGAGCCGTTCGCGTTTGTGCTTGATCATCGTTTCAACTGTTGAGAACCTTTTACTGCAGTCTTCTACGTCTGGGCCAAGATCCAGATATTTAAAGTTGTATGTGACAGCGTAGTCTGGGTCGGAGATGTTCAGATGCTGAGAATGGTGCACGCACTGATTCAATACAACTTCAGCTGCTTCGGGGAAATTTTCAACCAGGAGTGATACTGCAGTTTGGCCAGAAGTTGTTTGGTAGTTTTCAATCTCCGTCCATCTAAATGCAAAAAAGAAATATAAGAATAAGATTTAATTGTATTTTAAAGCTGAAATGACCTTGGTCTTTCTGTTTAGTTTGATCACATCCACGACAAAAGCAGACCTGATGACCAAAATGGAAGTTGAAATTATGAACAATTAACATCCCTAGCCAATTAATATCAAAGATGGATAATTATATTCCGATTCGACGATTCGTCAACAGATTTGTTTCTCAATGGTATTTCTTTACGTTCTTCCACCACAACAACTAACCTTTTGTGCTTCACAATTGTCATGGCAACATCAGACGCTCCCGCTTTTGCTGCTACTTCCAAACAATCATGTCCTCGTCCGTTGACAAGTGTTAAACTTGCGCCACGGTCCAAAAGTAAACTCACTATAGCTGGATGACCCTTACCACACGCCAGGTGTAATGCAGAGTCGCCGTCCGTATCCTGCAGGTCGACGGATGCTTTAAAATCAAGTAGAACCTCGGCACATTTTACTTGGTTTCTCTTTACTGACCACATCAACGGAGTTTGGTGGAGATTATCTAAACTGTCAACTTCCGCTCCCATATTTATGAGTGCCATGCAAGCTTTTCTGTATATAAAATGGAAAAAAAGCCCCGGAATTAACACACTAGCAAAATAACACCCCAAAATTATTCTGCTATCGGTAACTATTCACTTTCAACATCCAGTCTGAAATCTGTAAACTAAAGTTTATTTCATACACTGGCATACTTGCTTCCTAGCGCTATTCTGACAAGTCACACCTCCAAAATGGATCACCAACACAACCTAATGTTCAAAAGCAAAAAAAGTAAAACACTTTCATTTCCTCTCTGTTTTGTAAAATATGATCCCGAAATCAGATGTCTTACCGTTGCCCTTTTCCAGCAGCACAGTGCAAAGGTGTTCGTCCAAGCTCGTCTCGTTCATTAACCCCAGAAATCCGCCTGACCAATGCTTCCACGTGTTTGGACGAGGACGATTCTGCGGCTAGATGTAGAGGTGTTTTTTTATTCTCGTCTCGAAAAGACAGATGCTTCTGTTTGGATAAGACCAGCTCTAAAATCTACAAACCGTAGAATAATACAGTCAAACGTACAGATGAAACGTGTTTTCCGCGACGCATTTGTTGAAATGAACAGTTCAATATTCAAAGTGAGACTTAATCTAAAATTCAAAGGGCGATTGTTTAAATTGCTGGCTGGGGTTACACATCGAACTTATTTTGCAAGAATTCATCCGGGACAATCTTGGCTGGAAAGTAACCAACAAATAACCTTTTAAAAACAATTTTTCAAATAAGCAGAAACGTCTTAACGTCTTCTTCCCAGACAATTTCCTTGTCAAAATCTACCAGAGTTGCAGGGTCGTATCTACAACTTGGGAGGGGAAATTCAGCCTGTGAAATTCAGCAAGTTGAACCTACGGGTCAGAAATCGCCATATTTAGGCTCATGGCTTGGATAAGTGCTGTCAAAAAAGAATCGGTTTAGGAACAGAACATAACTTAAATTCACCCAGTATTATCACTTCCTTTTTACTGGCCTATACGTTTTGCATCTACCAACGTCTTACCTTTATATCTTTTGACTTAGCAGCGTAGTGCAAAGGAACCCTGTCCCACAAATCCGCTTTGTATAAATTGTTTGTACCCGAGCGACTCTCTAGAAGCATGGCAAGCATCGTCAAATGTTCTTTCTCTACCGCGAGATGAACAGAAGTTTTCAAGAGCAGATCGGTTGCAGTGTTTTCAGCTCCAAGTTGAAGGAGTACCCTGGCGGAATCAATGTGTCCTGCCGCGACTGCGTTCAAGAATGGCGAACGACCTTCATCATCGCGTGCGTTAACTTTAGCTCCCTTTTCAACGAGATATGTGATGAGTTTCGTTTGGTCAAAAAGAGCAGCTCTAGAGACAAAATGAGTTACAAAAATGTCAGTCTAGTCTGCTAAAAATGTTAACGGTGCTGAAACACGAAGTGAGCGAACGTATCGCTACTCTGCATGCAAGAGGTGACAGGTGGGCATACATGCAGTAGAGTACTTCCCACGTACTGTACAGGAATTTGTCAAATTTCCAAAACCAGCTTTCTTTGGTTCCTATTTCTACACCAGGCTTACAAATAGGAATTGACAAAACATGAACAATCGGTTAGAATGAAGTGTCTTTCCTATTAACATAATAAAGTGCCCAGAGTTGTACTCTTGCTCTGTTCAAAATCCAAAAGATTTGATCATTACGCTAAAGCACATATACCATTCCTAATGGCCGATTCCCTCTATGAGATTCGCCTGCCGGGAATCACGGTAGTTGTATTCGTCATCTTGGACTATATGTTAACTTTACTGAACACAACTACCTTGATTCCCTGCTGGCGCGTCTCATAGAAAGAATTAGCCAACACAGTCAGTTCTAACGGACCAGATTTAAAACTTTATCGACTGGCAACAAATTTTTCACTTGACTCTGAAGATGACTTTGGTTCAGTTTGTCGAAACGCCAGTCACCGAAACAGTTCTTTTCAGAACAACCTTCAACCAGACGATCATACCAGACAAACTACTAGTTACAGAACTATAATGTAAAATGATATTGTCGTAGAGTTTTAAAGTATCCGTTTTGTCAAAGAAGCCCAACATCGAAAAGAAGTTGAATAAATAGCTGATTCAATGCTGACGTTGTAAAATCGCTTATCATACTTTAATTTACATATATACCATGATGGCTTAGCCAATGAATTGCATTATCCCATGATCTATAGCTTTTAATATTTAGTAACATTCAACAACTCTTCAATATACATCCTTGAAATATACTGACCTGTGAAGAGGTGTTTTGGAATCTCCATCTTTCATGTTAACACCGGCTCCTCGTGATATTAGCAACTCCGCCATCTCAAGATTCCCTTTAGTGGCCGCTAAGTGAAGTGCGGTGGTTTCGTTACACTTTTTAGAGTTGACGTCTGCGCCATGGTCAAGGCACAGTTCAGCGGTCTCGACATCGTTATTCCAAGCAGTTATGTGTAACACTGTGTTACTCTGTAGGTCCTCGTTCCCCACCAGTTCCCTTTCATTGGTATCAACGTCTCTATCAGAGGCTGCGAAGAAAAGGAATTACATTTCAGACCGTAGCTAGAGAAATGCTGAAGACGCTGTGAGCTAAAGGTTAGCGCGCTATATCTCGGATTTATAAATAGGTAACGGAAGGGTAAATCTGTTGTGAACTGGAATTAGCATCCAAATTAGCATCGCCGGGCGAATGAAGAGAATAGGACTTGACAAATTTATGACTGTGTGATACATAGTAGAGAGCGAATCAATTCACAATTCTAAAGATTACACTTCTCCACGTTTTAGACAGACATCGAAGTTTAATAGCTCACGCTAGTGCACGAAGATGGAATCAAACCGGTATCCATACTTCAACGCTTACCTCGGTTTAATATCATTCTTGCCACCTGAGAATGACCATTAAGAATGGCGCTGTGGAGAGGAGTCGTTTTGTCCGCTGAAACTGCCTTGATGTCCGCTCCGTAGTTGAGAAGCAGTTGGCAAACTTTGCTATGTCCTTCACTGCAGGCCAGGTGCAACGCAGTTTTTCCAGAAACATCTTTGTCATTAACATTAACCTTTGAATGCTGTAGGAGAATTTTAACGATCTCTTCGTTTCCTCTGCACGCTGCAAAATGCAGTGGGGTATTCCCCTTTCTACCTTTAGCTGAAGGGTCGGCGCCTCGCTCCAAAAGGGTGTTGACAGTCGAGAGGCCATTGAACCTACGATAAGAGTTTCAAATCAGCTTTTTTAAAAAAGATTATTCAAACATTTGAAAAACGCGCCAATCGTTCGACAAGGCCCTGAAACTATGTTGATAAGTGATAAAATATGTTGAAAGCGGGTGAAACTCTTATCAACATAAATCTCTTGGAAACCATTTTTATCCATCATGGGACTCAGAACTTTTGTGCATGTCGTTTGATTGCAGCAGTGAGGTGAGACGGTAGCTGAAGAATCTGCGTTTAACACGATGCACAAATACGTCATGAAGTGCAATTGTGATAATTAACCCCCAAGCCAATTTGACGTCAACTAAACACAAGATCCGATATGTAAGTGACAAATTTTAACGCCCTATCTCAAACCTTATTTATCTGAACTAAGCAAGGAAGGAAGGCCAGAAACTTGCAAAATAACCGATCTTGTCACGAAATCCAATTTTCCATACACTGATCTCACAGAGGTAGGATTTGTAATGGGTCTGTTCACACCTGGATCAAATTTTCGTGACGTCCTGAGGAAGTAGCGCTATTGACGCTTGCCCAAGCAACTCGATGTCACTTGCACCTATTAAAGTGCCTGTGAAGTAAAAAAATAATTGCTGCTTATTTGAAAGACTTTTCAAAGTAAAACAGAATGGCCATTTTCTCTTTTGGAAAATCATTTTTCGTTTTAGAGATATTCACGTTTTTGTATTATGCAAATAAAGAAAGTGATGACGTCATAAATAGTTCCACTTAAACAATAAAAAACTGAATCAAGAATATCTCCAGAAATATTGGAGTGGTGTTCTTCAAACTTGGCACCAGAAATGTTCATCACAAAAGAAACAGAAAGACACCTACTATGTTGTTGCCATGGCAACACTCTTGGCTCCAACTCGTTCTGTAAAAAACCAAATATCCCCATTTGCAACCTATTAAAGTGGGAAAGAGGCTAGGGTCTTGCTGGGAACACACATGGTTCCCATATTGTCTTAACTCTCCCCATTACATTGTTGAGAGTGGATGATCCTTGTTTAAGATAAAATCTGGAGATTTTAGTCTTAATCAAAACAAGACCAGCGGTATAACTGTTGCCAAGGCAACTGCATGACGATTGTCATAATGTTTCTTTTGTGATGTACATTTCTGGTGCCACGTTTAAAGAACACTGCTTTAATATTTCTAGACATATTCTTGATTGAGTGTTGTACTGTTTTAGCGAAACCACCTATGACGGCATCACTTTCTTCATTTGCATAATACAAAAACGTGAATATCTCTAAAACGAAAAAAGATTTTCCAAAAGAGAAAACGCCATTCTGCTTTACGTTGAAAAGCCTTTCAAGTAGACAGCAATTATTTTTTTACTTTATAGGAACAACCGGGAAACCCCCATACACTTGCACTATCAAAGCAAAATGCGCGGTGTACAGCCAATCGAGGGGAAAAAAGGTATTTTAAACCGTAACGTTTTACTTGGTTTCCCTAAGGAAACTAATAAGTATGGGTTTTCAAATGGTGACGAGTGAAATAAGGGAATAATTTCACGCGCGTTTCGTCAAAATCCTTACGATTTTTCGAGTGAGTATACCATTTTGATTGCCTTTTACGGGTATACCATTTGATTGCCTTTTAATATTATAGATGACAAATTACGCTTGCAATCTCGGGTTTTTGACTTGCTTACTGTATCGAGAAATTTCACACCAAACGTTGCCATGGCAATTTTGTAATTTCTCATGTGAAATTATAAATTAATGCTCAAATTTCGCGCCAAAGTAAGGAGTAATTTCAGTCACCCGGCCCATGATATTATACAAGTAATGTTACAAGTATAACCAGAAAATCATTATAAATTTAAAAAAAAACAAAAAAACACTCGTATGACTGGTTTAACTGTAGTTAACTGGTCATGTTTTTTTCAGTTCGCAAGTTTACACACCATAATTACATTATTAACATGACTGAGGTGAATGAATGACCTAATCAGCCTGAACAACACGTGTATAGAGGATATTACATGGCCGTGCAGACATGAAATTTCTCTTAGAGTGATGAAAAATATTTCAGGAGCAAGTGCAGCGAATGTGTGAAATATTTTTCAACACGAGAAGAGAAATTCCGTATCTCCAAGCGTCCACAAACCACAAGCCAGACATGCACGCAATGCAGACCTATTTTATCTAAATATCTCGATTGTTTTTTTTCAAGTACTTAAGAATATCCGGATACCGTCGTATAGCACGATCCCAATCGCTAATGTTGAGCCAGAGAAACATTTTCCCCTCGAAAGTTACCAAGGTACAAACCCGAAGATTAGGCATTACTACGTCGCTTAACGCAATGCTGTAAGGTTCTATTTATTACGGCCTATGTTTTGGGCTTCTACTAACCTGGGACGCCAAGAAATTATTGAAATTATTACGGTCAGTGTTTTGACGAAACGAAAGGGAAAAGGAATAAGGGATTACACGTGGAACATGGGTACATTCTTTCAGAAGTGTCGTGACAGGCGTTTAGATTCAGTTAGTTCCCTTTTTAGAGCGTAGTTAAGGAACAACTCCCAACTCTGTACTAGCCTACGAACGCAGACGTATTTTCGACGGAACTAAGTGACAGCCGGAAATACGTCAGCGTTCACAGGCTACACTGTAACTCTGTACGTGCCTATGTCAACATAATTTATGATAATACCTACTTATTAGCTTACGATACGTGACAATCAAAACGAAAGATCTGCTCAGGAGACTACCCCAGGCTATTGTAGTTCTTGAAGACTACAAATCAGAGGAACAAATTGATTGTGGTTCTTGTAAACATTCAACTGATTTGCAATAGCCTTTCTTGAACGCTGGCTGGCGTTTCATATAAGTGTTGGCAGAACGTACGACAAAATGCTAATCGATCCGTGACTCAATCCTATAAGGCATTTACATTAAGAATTTTGCAATCGGAACAGATACATGGTTTGAAGATCGTTAACGGTCTTTTGGGACTAATGTTCGTTTTCAATTCTCCTGAAAAAATTATTATTGCACAGTTAACAGTCACGCTTTCTCTATCTTTACTATCAAGCGAAAAGGAACCATGAATTTCACAGGCGTGTTTTTGATTTCTTAATAACGTATGCAAATTTAGTCGATACGAGATTACAGAAGATAAAATTTCAACGGGCACAATAACAGATATCTACGTACCTTGCAGCAAAATGGAGGGGCGTCAAGTGATATTCTTTTGTACCAATGTTAATGTCAGCTCCATGTTCCAACAGAATCTTCACGATTCTGCTCAAGTTGTACCGAGCTGCGACGTGAATGAGCGCAAAGCCATGTTTGCCTGTTCTATCGATCTCTTGCATGTCTGTCAGGTTGCCGAGCTCCTCTTCGACTAACTCCATTTCATCTTCGCGAATTGCTTCAAAAAGCTTCAGAGTGTGGGGTGACACAGGGGTTGCCATTTCGCTTGTTTCGCGGTCGTCGTAAACAAAGGTCGCCGTCTCCTTTGTCTCGGGTTCGAAATCGACTAGCGGTACCCCGTGTTTTTCTTCAGCGTCTTCATCATCCCTCCTGAGCTTAAAGGGATTGCAACTTGCATCATGTCGTTTTGTCTTTCTTTGCGCCATGTTTTCCTCCGAGAGTTTAGTTCCTTGCTTCACTTTCCTCGTCGTTTCGTTCTACCGTGACAACTGCAGTTCGGGGAGACCTCTTTTAACAACAGAACATCACGTGCGCATGTTAATATTTTAAAATTATGACACGTACGATTGTTCCTGGGGATCAATCACTCAATCAAATATTTACATATCGTTTCAAGACTGAGCAATATTGTGCTCAGTTCCTTGACATTGATCATGAATAGTGCTAATGTTAAAGTATTGTTACTTCACTTGCTACTTTTGTGAATCAAAGCGCACTCTTCCTTCTATTTCAAAGGACCTATTTCGCAGACACGAGATCAAAATTGTTCTTAGAAACAAGGTCAAACAACAACAAGCACGATGTCGTATTTAAAACTAACATTACTACTCCACTACTCCACTAGAAAAAAAAAAATTAAAAATAAAAAAAATTTGACGGTCTCGGACTTTAGCATCCGGCTCAGTATATTGGTATTTGGCCAATATATACGTCGGTCAAGTGTTTATCATATCGCATATCGCCAAAGTACCACCTGACATTCATGTACGACATGTACTTGTCTGCCCTTTGGGCTCATCACGAATCAAGAGCAGCGCGTGACGCGCCACAGGAGATCCTGGCTGTTACATAATCAATTCTATTCACTCTGTCACCTTTCAGGTTTCGTATAAATGTAGACTGTTTGATAATTAGTCTGCATTGTCCCGCAAACCCAAATATATGCAGAGGGCTTCTGGAACTTTCTAAGATTTTCTTGAATATTAAAACTTGTGAGTTTAGCTCGAGATCCATTCATTATTAGTGTGTGTGTTCAAGGAATAAAACTTTGCCAACAGGAGTAGTTAACATGGTTTCAGGATTTAACAAACCCAGCCAAGACTAACGTCGACAGCGATCACCGCCAGATTTTCGGAAAGTATTCTCTCATTCTACAATGGCTGAATTGGAGCATTTTCCAGTGCCTAAGGGAAACTTCACGCCGGGCCCCGAATGTTACCAAAAGTGCTTGGATTGGGTTGAGGAATGTGAACCCCTTTTTAATGGTCCGTTAGCTTCGAAGATCAAAGCCGTCAAAGCATATTATGTTCTCATTTGGGCAGGAAAAACTGGAAGAGCATACATTAAGTCACTGAATCTCACCACGGAACAGAGGGGAGATCCAAGCCTGCTGTTAAATACGTTCGTGGAGTGGACAAAGCCGAAATCCAACTGAACGCACTTGCAGCCGCATCAAACTTCCGCCGCCTGGAGCAAGGTGATGTTAGTCTTGCAGAGTACATTGACAAAGGTACTATTCTGAGCGACCAGTGTGAATATCCTCCAGAGGTCTGCGATCGACTACTTTGGGGCGCAATAGTAATTAGGCTACGCTCTAAAGAGGCCCATTACAAGTGCATCGAAAAAGGCTCAGCATTGACGCTGAAAGAGGCAATAGAAATCGCTCAGAATCAGGATGCCACAGCACACCAGGCTGGTTACATGCGACCAGAATGCGAAGGCGATCCACTACAAATGGAAGTTCATAAACTCTAAGGAAATAGGCAGACAGGAGCCAAGTGGAACACACAGCAGCCACAAAGACCAGGTTCCAATGATCAGCCCCGTAGGAGGCACGGTTTCAATGATCAGAAACAAGTAAAGTCCAAAAGAGAAAGAAATCTGATAAGCAATCTGAAAATTGATGACAACACCACTCTAAACACAGATGAAGAAATCCTAAGTGAAGCGAAACGCTTTTATCAGGCACTATACACGTCAAACAATAGTTCTTTTCAAAAAGTTTCTGGTGAAGACCTTTTTTCAACAAGAGAACCACTGTACAATAAGTGACGACGAAAGAAAACTTTGTGAAGGTCTGCTAACGGCTGCAGAAT